TACGATATCGCAAAGATATCGAACTAATCAATGTCGAATAAATATAGTTACGACTAACTTAACGATGTCGAATCTATTTTTTATCAAAATATCGTAATGATATCATAATGATATCATTGCAATATCTAATCAATATCGATTGTAAACTCCAAGTTTCAGCAAAGTATATTTTGCCTTCTTGTAACAAATTATCAGGAATGATTCTTTCTCATTTGGCTATTAAAATCAAAAATAAAATAGATTTTATTCTTGAAAATGCAATGAATTTAACGCTAGGTAATTGATTTTCAATATTCTATATTCTGAATTTTTGATGTAAAATATAATAATAAACTTTATAACTTTAGGTCTAGATGACTGGACAAATCCCGCAGGCCATTCTATTTATAATTTTATAGTAATAACTTATGATCATCAAGAATTTTTGTATAAACTTTGGAATCTTTCAATTATAAGATATACAGCTGAAAATTTAGCAGAGAAAATTAAAACTGTGCTTAAAAAAATTGGACCTGGCAAGTTTGCTGCTATTGTCACTGATAATGCTGCCAATTGTGCTGCTGCCAATATTATTAGTGAAAAATATACTTTTATTTTCAATACTTATTGTATTGCACATTGCGTTAATCTAATTACTAAAGATGTGATTGGTAGTATGTTTATTGTTGTTAAATTTTTATTTTAAAATACTCACATACAGTATTATTTAAAACAGAACATGATTTTCCAAAATGAATTCTAAAAGCATGTAATGAAGTAGTAAAGTTTTTTAAAAAATCACATCAAGGGAAAGCACTTTTAGAAAAATATACCAAAGAATTTAACATTGAAGGTGAAGGACTCAAAACCTAGGTTAAAACACGTTGGACAACAATATTTGACTCTGTTAATTCTATTTAACGTTTAAGGTCAGCATTAGAAAAGGTATTTATAGACTCTATTGATTTATAAGAAAATTAAAAAAGAATTTCTACTAATTTCTTAAATAATGATTTAATAGATTGTAAATAAATATGGCAGTATTGTTACTAATAAAACTATGGTGCCGGAAGTCTATACTCAACAATAAAAATGTAACACTTAAAAATCTTTCAACTCCTTAAAAAAAATACAATTTAAAAAAAATAAACTGGTAATTTTATTCTTTGAAGTAAGCTCTATCAAATTACCGGTCACATTTTTAAAAGAAGATCTACGTAAAAAGTTATAAGCATTTGAAATTGCATGATTTTCATATGATCAGCCCAAATTTGAAACAAAATATATTGGCCAGAACTTACGATAATTTGGGTTGATTCCATGCATTGTGATAATGCCAGCCTGAATTATCATAATATGAATCAAATGTAATTTTTTTTAAAAAAAAATTTTTTTATCAATATATAACTTTTATGAAATGGTAGTTGCAATTTACTACTGAAATCTACTTTTTCTTATATTTTATCTTGTTTGTAATAAAAAAATTTTCAAAAACCGCATTTTATTAGTATTTTACACAAGAAATTCTGGTTTTTTATTGGCTGAATTCTGGATCACATGATATAGAATCAGCTCAGAAAATTGAAACAAAATCACGTGATTGTCGAGTATAGACTTCCGGCACCATATAACAAAAATCATTACAGCTCAAGAATTTTTCCATGATACTAACTTGGTATTAAAAGTGCTAGAGCTATTAAAGAAGGCAATTTTATCTGTTGAAGCTTCTAATACCAATTATACCAATTGTTTTATTGCTTTAGTTCGCCTAGCAGATGTTATTAAAAAAATTTCAATTGAATGGAGCTTAATTTTTGAACTCATACAATTAATTCTATTAATGAACAGTAGGATTCCTTTAATATTATGCCACTTGTATTAATATACTTTTTTTATCCTGGTTATCGTGGTACTTGTTTAATTATGAATAAGTATACATATTTTTTAGCTAATAAAGTTCATTTCTATTTTATATTAAATGCAGGATTAAAGCTAGGTATGTGGATGAAAATTTCTAATTACATGCAAAGTATATGGAAAAATATGGGATATAGTGTAGAAGATCAAGAAATTTTAGTGGTTTAGATGTTAAATTTTAAAGAAAAATAAGGTACCTATGCAACACCTTTTACCAAAACATACTGTATTACACTATGTACGTGATGGATGTCTTGTGAAGATATGCCTTCTTTTGTAAAGAATTTAGCATTAAAGATATTTGCGGTAATACCACATAGTGCTTTATGTGAAAGGATGTTCTCAGCTTTAGATTGGTTATATGGAAAAAGAAGAACTTCTTTGGATATTACTACAATTAAGTCAATGGCAAAAATCTGACATTTTTATTAGAATAGTTCTAAACATAAAGAAAATAACCAAATAAATAGTGAAATCCAAAACTTGGTTAACGAATTTTTCTATTTTAAAGATTCAGATGATAATTATAATGACGATAATAATGAAAATGAAAGTAGCTATAAAGAGATTATTGAAAACCAAATACCGAATCATGAAGTTTATGTTCATCTTTCTTATTTCTTATTTCTTTCATTTTTTTTTCTTTTATCTTTTCTTTTCTTTTATCTTTTTTTTTAATAAATATTACATCATCTTTAATCTATAAATAGATATCATATTACGTGATATATTATCACGTGACTTATTATCATTCCACTATATAACGTAATTTCTATCATATGACTTTTATCACGTGATTTAATCTATTCAGTATATTATTTATCTATGCTTAGTATTCAGCTGTTTACAGCGGCAGTTTTATTCTCTTTTAAGTTAGTCTTTTTCTTCTATAAATTGGTTTTCCTATGCACTTATCTGTGGCTGCCTACCTAAACTTTTTATTGACTTATTTGTTAAATTATCCATTCCAAGAGCTTCTACGATGAAGGTTGTCACTGCTATTCATAACAATTTTGTTCATAAATTCAGAAAATGAATTTGAAATCTGCATTTTTATGAAAAAGGAAGATGGGAAGACATAATGAACATTACTTACAAGTTGAAAACTACTTTTCAACTATCCAATTTGCTAAAGTTTATGTACTTGCCCTACTCATATTTA